TCACAAATAGCCTTGTATTCTGTTCACAGAATGCAAGGTGTTGTGTGAATGGATGAAGGGAGATCATGTCACCTCCTCTTCCTTTGTCTGTCCAGTCACAGATTTATAAATGGAAGAAGAAAGGAGTGTAAACAACACTATCCTGTACTATAATAAAGCTGAAACTATTAGTCGCAGTACTGGAAGAAGAATGCTGTGAGCATGAATTAAGCTGTTGTTTCTAAAGGAAGAACTAGTGCTGCAGGCATTGGATACTAAGAATTTGAAGTAAATTATTGTAATTGTGCTGAGGTTCCACTATTATGCAGAGTTCCACAGATGCATATACTTACCTTCTTTTCACTCCCCTGTTGCTCTGTTCTCACCAGAACAAATATCACCTTCACCTCCTGCCCTGTTAACAACTGTGAAATGTTGTATTCTCCATCACTTTCTGTCCCAATGACAATGGTTACCAGGTCACAATTCTCCCCTGGGGACAGAGACAGCAATAACAACTTGACAGAGGTTCCCTACTCTATCCAAACCTTCCCAAAACGTTTCCCATTAGTTTACACAGCTCAGCAATCTAGCACCAATCTTCTAACTAGCTGTCCAAAATGCCCTTTCACTGAAGTATATAGTACAATAAAAATCAAAGGAAAAATGCTTTGCAGAATAAAACAACAAATGTGGTGCCATTGGACCTTACCCTTGTGGCAGGGACTACCAGAGTGAATAATCTTTCAATTTTGCCTTAATATATTTATCGACTGAAGACAGGTTGGGTGGTTTGTTATCTATAAGCTTGTGACAGAGAGAGGCTGCAGAATCAGATATTTGTTTAGTGCATCTGGCAGTCTTTTAATTTCATTCAACAGCCATATTTTCAGCATGTGTTAACAGTAGGTAGCCTACAAAGAGGACATTACATATTTTAAGTACTGTTTTGAAAGTTTGTTGTGTGATAGGTTTTAAAGGATCAGTTCACCAAAGGTGTATGAAACTGTCTTTTATATTTTTGGAACTCCACCGCACACATGAGGATTGCCCTACCATATTTTCTTTGCTGTGTTTATTTCAACCTTGGAATTTTACTGTTCCCACTCGGAGAGTGGGACCCCCTCTGAATGGCTCTGGCAGGTGTGTAGAGATTCTGTTAACTGCGTCTTCAAGAGATATAAGAAACTATGCAGTAGTATAACTCTTAACTATCACCAAGTGAGAAATGTCAGTTAGGTATGTTGACACCTAAAAAAAGAGCTTTTGAGTTAGTGTTAGAATACTTTTCTGCTCATTTCTTAGAAATATATCAACAATTACTAGATAATGGTTTCAGGAATGTTTGTGAGTGGTCCTTTCTGCTTATTAATGAGTGTGAATATCACAACTGGAAACGTCAAGCAAGCCTTATGCTATTTTCCACTATAATATTGCCACTGGGTGGCATTGTTTCACCAAGTGTCTATATCTAGTAGTTCGTATTTTTTTTTTTTTAATCTAGTCATCTCTTTGCCTTGTTCTTGTAAGTAGTAATAGAAAACTGAGCATATATACGTTGCATACGTTTTTATATACACATTAGACGTGCAAAATATTAAATTATTTTATCCCATGATATCCATTGTGGGTTTAAATTTATAGCACTGTTATGATTTTTTTTTATATGCAACAGTGTGCAAGTTGAGTTTTGTGGAGGGTTTTATTTTAATGTGCTCATTAATCTGTACATTTTATTAGATGTCTAAGAGAAAAGAAACCTGTTTTAAATAGACACTGTCAGATTTCCTATTAAGGACAAAGTAACAGTGTCTGTACATAGCCCACCACCCCCCAGGAGCCAGTAACCCGGCCTGAAAACTGTCTTCTAGAGGGTGGTCTCACAATCCCCTATCTAAGCTCTGTTTACATTTGTAAAGCCGACTGTTGGCTTTAAAATAGAAGCGATTCTGGCCACTCAGCTGTCGTCAGATCGCTTTTACGGGCCGGTAAACTGCCCGCCCCCACCTGACACCCCCACTGTGTTTCTTGGGCTCCGCTGCCCCTCCTGCGGGCCCAGCACCTGCATCTCGGGTATCAGCGGAAAGCCGGCGGAGGAGAGCGGCGAACGTCCGTTCACCGATCTCCGGGGAGCATAGAATGGGGAGTTCTATGGAAGCGGGAATGATGCAGATTACATCATTTCTGGTCCCATAGCTGTGATGGCTGGGCTCCTGAAGCCCAGCAATAAGCTATTGAAGTTTTTTTGACCCGTTGACGACCCATGACTGAATTATCCCATCATGGGTCATCAACGGGTAAAGCTTATTTAAAGTGTAAAGATGACACTAGGGTTTTTTTTGGACCCCCAGTATCACCTTAAAGAGGACCTGTCACTGCCAATATGCTATCACACGCAGGGCTTGTAAGCCCCCTATGTGATAGTAAACAAAGTAAAGTAAAGAAAATAAAAATAACAGTTTTTAAAAATAATATCAAATAAAATAAATGTAAAAATAATAAAAAACAATTTAAAGTCTCCCGCCCCGTGAGTACATGCGTCATTACGTAAACACTCGTTGGGTGCGTCTACATACAAAATGATGATCGCGCTACACATGTTGGGTATCGCCGCACATGCCAGGGTAAGAGCAATAAATCTAGGGCCAAAATGTATGCATATCTCAAAATTGATGACCTGTAGGGGCTTTTAAAGCGTTGTCTATGGACTTTTTGGGGTACTGAATTTTGTCGTCGTTTCACAGGCGCACACAATTTTTAACCTGGGCGTGTTGGGTATCTAAAAAAATGGGTATTTTTGTTTTGGGTCACTAAAGTTAACGTGCATTTTTCACTACATTTTTGGGTTTAATAATAAGTTGCGCTAATATCGTGCAACATAAAAATTTGCAATTGCTGTCATTTTATTCTACAGGGTCTCCGCTTTCAGAAAATATCTAATATTTGGTGGTTTGAAGTAATTTTCAGGGCTAAAATGTGGATGACAACATGGGTGCAAAAAAATGATAAAAGGCCTCATCATTAAGGGGTTAAAGTGTATCTTTTGTTTTTTTGTAAACAATATGGTGTTGAGGGGGCAGGAGAATATCACTGCCTCATTGTTGCTTTTTCAGTTGTGGAGGATTTGGTGTATTTTAGTATAGATATCTTATGTTGTCCATATACTTTGTTGTACAAATTTCAGAGACAATTACTGCAAACAAGTGATTTCTGTAGCTCTCAATGAAACTTCTCTACTTGCCAACAGGTAGTATTGCTCTTCATGTGCGAAATGCTCCAGCTGTCTCAAGTACAGTGTTGAAGGGTGTATTTTCCAGACTGCATGTTTCAGACCTTTAATAGATGTTTGATAGGATTCAGATTAGGGCTCATGGATGGCTCTTTCAGAACAGTCAAATAATTGGTTCATATTCATTCTTGGGTACTTTTAGCTGTGTGTTTTTGGTTATTTTCCTGTTAAGGAGCCTATGTAAGGCCACTAAAACAGAGCAGTACATTTTACTCCAGAATTCATTGATGAGATTGCATTGTGCTCTGCACAAGTTTAGGCAGCCCTTGTTAGATGCAGCACAAAATGCCCCAAACATAACCAAACCTTCTCCATGTTTCACAGTTGGTATGGTGTTCTTTTCTTTGGAAGCTTACTTGTTTTGTCTGTAAACATAGAGCTTATGTGACTTGCCAAAACCTGCAGTTTGGGCTCATCTGTTCAAAGGGCATCCTCACAGAAACATTATGGCTTTTCAACGTGCATTTTAGCAAATTCTAGTCTGGCTTTATTTATGTTTTTTTTTTTTTTTAATAGCTGTGGAGTTCTACTGGTTATTCTTTCTTTGAGCCCATTGTCCTTAAAAATGCGATGGATGGTGCAATCAGACCTGATGTAGCATGATTTTGGAGTTTAGCTTGTATCTCTTTGCAAGTCTTAATAATATTTGCAACTGTCAGCGGCACAGCAAGCTGCTTTGACAGTCTGGTCTATAATTATTTTTTCTGACCCTCCTCAGACAACGCTCT